ATATATATATAATATATATATATATATATATATATGATATATATATATGTATATATATATATACTCATATATATACACTATATATATATATATACATATATATACATATATATATATATATATATATATATATATACACATATATATACACATATATATATATATATACATATATATACATATATATATATATATATATATATATATATATATATATATATATATATATATATATATTTATTTATTTATTTATTTATTTATTTATTTATTTATTTATATTTATATGCATTTATGTAAATGCATGTATATACGTCTATTATATTGTTTCACTCAACAATGAGCTAAAATAATTCTGCCTTGTAAAAGCTGCATGTAATCACAACTACTGTAGACTGAGAGATAATCGAGGATCCACAAGACGAGTTAGTTAGATCAGTCTATCTACAGAGCTGGTTACCGTCCCTGTGACGACACGGGCAAGCTGTTCAGGTTCGATAACTCAGTGATCTCGAGTTACCGAACATAATTTATGGGAACGGCGAAATTGTCAATAGAAACCAGGAGATTTTCTTCTACAGGGGGAGGGGGTGGAGAACAGATAATTTGATCTGCTATTAAGGCCGTCTCGATTACACCACTTTTACAAATCTCGAGAAAATAAATTTAAGTTGTTTAACCAAGCCCCACTAGAAATCTGGGGATGTTTATTATTTTAGCGAAAATTTCTGAAAAAAAAACCTAACGTTATTTTTATTTTTTATATTTTTACGCATCCATTGTTTTAGTTCGATCCTAAAACTAAGTGAGTAAGTCGATACGCTAAATTGTTTTGTCAATTATTTAAGCTGATTGTCAATATTTTTTTTTTGGGCTAATGCGTATCATAATCATCTTTTCTCTTCAGTGCGCAGGATACGTAGGGACCATAACCCCACCTTCTATACCCTACCTTACCTCTAAGTTCTTACTGTGATATATGTCACTTACCTCCCAATAGTTCCTATGCTTTAGAATTGTGTGTACTATTTGTTTAATTTTTAATCTCAATATAATAACTAAACCAGACTTTAGTTTGAAGGGTAATGTAAATATGTAAATAAAAGGGATGCTACTCTAAATCTACGCAAATAGTGCCTACTTATTTATTATATGTAACATTCGTAACAGTCTCTCACTATACAATAATAACTCTATACGTTAAGCTACTTTTTGGTGGATCATCTATGGAATTTCTCATTTTTGTACAAGACACTTTAAGCTATCAAACGCTGTTAATATTTATTTGTTTTAGGAGCTCAACTAAGCAAATAATAGGTCTTCACTCGCACATCAATCCAACATTCTTTGAACAATTTGGTTATTGTATTAGCGAGCTATAGTCTGAGAGAACTAAGGAGGTTTCGCGGCTAAGGTGACGTTCGTGTGGGTGCTGACCTAAAGATGTAACGCTAGCGGATAAAGTTTTCCATTATGTGCCAAACGAGGTTATCTCCCTTGAGTGACCCTGCCATCTACCGGATGATTCCAATGTGTGATTGTTTCGTGCTATCGTGGGCGAGTTTTCATTTTTCATCTGACTTTTGAAAACGTATTTGTTATACGTAATAGTTTTATTAATTTTTTACTGCATTGTTTCTGTATAGAGATACTAGTAAAGTCATATCTTTAATTGTATTGCTAAAAATAATTAAAGTGTGGGCTAATCGTCTTTAATATTAATGGTAATTAGATTGTAAAAATCATGCTGTTTTCTACCTTCTCTATAAAACACCGCCTTATAACACACCATTCACTTCCATGCCTGTCATCAATATTAACGTATTTTCATAATTTGTCCATAAAACGTATGCTGTCATATTTCAAAATACACCCCTGCACAAGTCCCTAAAGCATTTAATCCTCACGAGAATTTCACCACCCTCGCTATCACGTTTTTCTGGCTACCCCTAGGCAAATCGACTGTTATTGTTAACCCATCTAATTCCACTCAATATAAACCCTATGTAATACGAACTGTATTTAAAAATAACCCAAGTATAAATAATTATTTATATTTCATTTGAAAAGTGTCACGTTCTTAGTTCATCTGTACCCCACAAAGCCGGCTCCCCTAGCGCTAATTACAGTTTATAGAAGATAGAGCAGACTGGAGTTTAAAAAAATATATAAATCAATCTAGCAACCAGCGACAGTGAAGGGACGATCACAGTTTAAGCAGATATGTTGTCTCCCCTTCCCACACATTCTATCGCACAACCACACGTTCACACAGAAGAGTTGTGGGTCGCGGTAAATTAAACCACCCTGTTGTTTGAACGATCACATTTCAGATTTTCACACTGTGCACATGTTTTTTTTAAAAGTATTTTAAAAAACAAACAATTTTTTAAATTAATAAAGGTTATTTGATTAAAAACGCGAGGAAAATCTGGCAACAACCACATTAAAGCTTGTTTTAAAAAATTATTACACAATACAATTTTTTTCTTCATAAAGCAATGCCTTTAGAGTTTTATACACTTTTTAAACAATCTCTTTTACGTAAATTAAGATTAAAAAAAAATATTGATAGATTATTTTTTTTACATTATTGTCTCCCCTAACGTTGTCTTTACAATATTAAATTGGAAAGTTCTCTAACCTGAGGATGTCTGCTTTTGACAAGATTTGTTTGTTTAACTGGACAGACCCTTCACGCGAGAGAACTTAATCTGACATTTCGAAAACAAACCAATTTCACTCAAAACTGACTTGTGTCGGTTCTTTTTCTTTTAAATCCCTGATCAAAATTCATGTGTCTAGCACTCAGAAATGATATCACAATAGAAGAATCTAATAATTGGTATTATTGTATCTTTGATTCATATCACAATAGAATAATCTGATTATTAATATTAATTTATTTGCGACTCATCACAATAGAATAATCAGATACTTTATATTGATGTATGTGACTTAAATCACAACAAAATAATCTGATTATTAATATTGATGTGTCTGTGACTTAAATCACAATAGAATAATCAGATTATTAATATTGATGTGTCTGTGACTCAGAAAACATATGATACTTGATATTTCTGCCCGCATCGATTTTCTGAGGCCTACATTTTATGAAACTGAACACTGGGTTGAAATGTATCTCGTATATTTTGGCTATCATTTGAACAGTCTCGAGTTTTCATCTTTAGCCTTTTCAAGAGTCGATTGTACGCACCGTTTCTATTTTTAACTTTATTTATATGCGAAAGATATAAATGTTTTTAATGTGACTTTTAAGCTCTTTCACTTTCTTTGCTGAGAATTTTAGCTCTATAATAATATTTTCCATCTATTGTGTGTGCTTATTTCCCTTATTGTGTGTGCTTATCTCCCTTCCCCCATACATTAGTGTTATAACTTAGCTCCGTGTGCTTTGCGTTAGTCTAGCTCCGTATTATCCGACACTTTTAAAGCTTAGCTTTCCTTTTCCCCTTACGTTTTGTGCAAACCTCGCCACATTTTTCCTCACAACTAAACGGAATTAACCTTTTTTCAACAAGAGTCACCTCCCTTGGTTGTAACTAAATTTCCGACTGCCATAAACTACCATCACATTTCTTCCTATCGCGGTAGCTTACCCCGTGTACTCATAAAATAAAAACCACTTTAACAAAACCTGAGAGTGACTTCCCCTCGTGCTGCCGCCCACTTGTTTGTCGTCTGATGTCGCCGGTGCGTGGGTGACCAGTGTCCTTGTCCATCTCGCTTTATCCATCTTCACCTTGTATGTTTTCGCTGACGACGCTATTTACCCCTCGCCCCGGGCTTTTAATATAAGAATTGTAATTGTATTGTACTCCAGCAAGCCGCCATTCGCCCTGGGTCGGGTAGCCTCGAGATGACAGCTATTATTGCTAAATTCTAAACATGACTCATGGCCAAGTGTTCTAATTCAGATTTATAAAAAAAAAAAAAAACCTCTTTATTTCATCGGTTTTATAAACATTTTAGTAAGCCTACCATGGTTAGACTATTGCTGTGATCATAGGCATATCTACTGGTGGGGGTGGGGTGGTTAGGTGCGACCACATTCCCACCCTCAGCAAACCGAGAAAATATTATTTATCTTTCCATTTGAAAATGACCTTTTCGAAACATTTCAACATTTGTTTTTCCTTATAAAGTTCTTTTTGCTACCAAAGTAATGATAGTGTAATAGTGAGTTTTGAGTAAACTACATAATTAAATTCATCTTTTGAATTATTAAAATATTTCAATCTAAACGAAGCGAGTCATCTAGTTTGGATTATCAGAACTGGTTTAGCAATGATTCCTTGTTATGACTAACACGGGTGATCTCCCTGAAACAATACTATGGATAGACTAGACCAGCGTTTTGGGGTATTATTTCAAATTGTATTTTGATTATAATTTATCAGGGAATTAAGTATTGCGCAAACATGATAATTGATAAACACTTTTCTGACGACAGGGAGGTAACTGCACGCAATCACACAGCATACAGGGTATAATTTGTATCGATTATTTTTTCGTATTTACAGTTTATAGCTTCTTCAATTATTGTCACATTTTTATAAAAAAAAATGTTTTTTTTTTTCCGCAGCCTTATCTTTGGGCATCGTGTGCGCATGTGCGGTCGCCGCTATCGTCATCTGTGTGGCTGCGGTGCTGTGGTTCAAGATTCGACGCAAACGTCAGAAGCTGCTCCATGATTTGACGTTTGACGATGGCTCGGAGGAATCCAAGAGCACCAAGTCTGCACCCGCCTCCAGGTTCGAGTCTTCAGAGTTATTTTTAGCATGCGCGTCACGAGATAATTAGTTTATGTGTTATTGGTGTTTGTTGAAGTTATAGGCGGGGGGGGGGGATCGACGACGAAAGCGGTAGAAATATAAGTGCGAGCATAATTTGATTTAATATGTGATAGTTTGTGGTCTTCCATACATGTTACGGACGTGGATGGGGTGGGGGTTTGACTTTTTTAAAGATGAGCTATGTGTGGATAAGGTCGGAGCTGAAAAAATGTGACGGTGTATATATTAATAGGCCTAATATTTTCTCAAGGGAGAAGTATTTTAAAAATTTCCCAATTACCGTGGACATGAAACGCGTCTGTGTTTCTTTTTGACGTAATTTAGGCGAAAAAGTGATGTGGATTCTTGTAGCCCCAACAATAGAGGTGAAGAGGTGGAGTTAAACCAATGGGCTATAGACCTTATAAGGTAAATTCATTTGTAGGCGACCCTCTTATCAATGTTTGGTGTTAGCGCCTGGGCAAACATTCAACAGAATAAAAATAAACAGAAATTGTTCATTCTGTAGAAATAAATGGCAGTTGACACTCTCTGCTAATAATTAATTTTACCCAAATTTAAAATTATAATTTCGTCTATTTAAAAAAAAAACAACTAACAGCAACTATTTCACCTACAGAACACCGTCTCCAAAACTCAGCAAGCGAATGTCCTGCCCAGATGCTCTTAACCTGAAGTCTATTGGCGCCAAAGGAATGCTAGCCCGCTCTCTGACTTCTGATCGTATTCCAGACTTCACTCTACCACCAGAGAGGGTTCAGCCTTGGAGCCCCCATGAAAAGAAATCTTCCAAATTTAACTTCAGCACCCATCAGAGAAGTAACACACTAGGGAGCATTAAACCAGACCTCTACCAGTAAGTTTTGAGAAGCCGTTGAAACTTTTAAAGTTTAAAGACTAGTAGAATTATTAGGGTGTTGATAGCTGTTAGGTTCTTCTGTCTAGGGGTGTATATATAACAACATACAAATATAACGTATACAACAGTAGATAACACTAACACTCTATAATAAGAATAATAATAAGATATTAAATATATATATATATATATATATATATATATATATATATATATATATATATATATATATATATATATATATATATAGTAATAAAATAGTAAAAGATCAAATGGGGTCTACAACATAAATAACAATACTCAACACCACGTTCCACGTCCACAGCCACACTACAACTAACTTCTTCACACACTGGCACACGCTCTGACACCCGTCACACCTCACGTGAACACTTTTCGCTCCATGTAAACACACTCAACTAAGGGATACAACTATACACCAAAGGGAGGGTACCTGTCTTTCCAGCACACAACACACAAGCAGGGGACACGTAAGGGACGTAACAATAGCGTAACAATAGCGTTGCAGTATATTTGTTAAGAATGCTTTTTAATACATTTAATTGGTTAACAATATTTACAGTAAATGCTTGTGGTTTTTTTTTTCTTTTTTTTTTTTTTTTTAATAAAGATACTTTAGGTTGTAGTTTGTTTTCACTGAAGAATATTTAGCTAGAGACATGTTTGTTTCAGCAAAGAATATCTTTTTTTCAAACTTGTTTTCAATGAAAAATAAATTAGGAAGGAGCTTTGTTTAATGAAGAATGACATCAGTTAAAATGTTTGTTTTATAGAAATTATTTAACTTTTTATCAGACAGAGTCTAGTATTTTTGTCATTTTTACTTTCTCGTATATACGAAGTATAGAGAAAGTATTGTAATCGTGCAAAAAAAAAATCGAGATTTTTACAAATCTCGACGTTTTACACCTCACTGATACGGAAAAACATAATTTTGCAATCTTGTCCGTATGTCTGTGTGTGTGTGTGTGTGTGTTTGTCCGTGTGTAAACACGATTACTTGAGTACCGTTACAGCTAGGTTGATGAAATTTCATATATAAGTATTATATCAAAATCGTAGATCCGTATCAACTTTTGAGCGATTTCCGACAACCGGAAGTGGTACTTTTTCTACTTTGAATTTTTCAAAAGCCTATAACTTGAGTACTATTTCAGATAGATAAATGATATATCACATGTAAGTAAAAGGTCTAATTCTCTACCTTCTGTAAAATTTTGAGTAATTTACGTTGACTGGAAGTAGTACTTTACGCTACTTCCGATTTATCAAAAAACTAATGTAAATTTTAAAAGTACTAATAATATTGCGCGCTATTATGCGTTTTTTATTTAGCGTTCACTTGGTGTGCAATTAATTTGTCTACGAGATTTTATTCTATTTTTAAAACTTTAAGTATTTAAAATGGATTAAAAATCATTTCTATAGCCCGAGTTCCCATCCCCTGTTATTTTATATAAGAATATTCGAGAAAGTTTAGGGGAGATCACTCCCGTTTTATTAAAACAATAATATTTAAAAAAAAGAAAATATAGAAATTATTTTAAAAAAAAATAAATTAAAAAAAAAATAAAAAAATAAAAATAAAAATATAGACAAATATTTTAGTTTGAAACAATGTATTAGGTTGAAACTTGTTACTTTCAGTAAAGAATAATTTAGATTAAGCAAGTTTACATTTGTTTTCAGTCACCAAAGTTTCTCTGAGGATGATGTTTACATTTGTTTTCAGTCACCCAAGTTTCTCTGAAGATGATGTTTACATTTGTTTTCAGTCACCAAAGTTTCTCTGAAGATGATGTTTACATTTGTTTTCAGTCACCAAAGTTTCTCTGAGACCATGTTTACTTTTGTTTTCAGTCACCAAAGTTTCTCTGAAGATGATGTTTACATTTGTTTTCAGTCACCAAAGTTTCTCTGAAGATGATGTTTACATTTGTTTTCAGTCACCAAAGTTTCTCAGAGGATGATGTTACTTTTGTTTTCAGTCACCAAAGTTTCTCTGAGGCCATGTGTACATTTGTTTTCAGTCACCAAAGTTTCTCTGAGGATGATGTGTACATTTGTTTTCAGTCACCAAAGTTTCTCTGAGGCCATGTGTACATTTGTTTTCAGTCACCAAAGTTTCTCTGAAGATGATGTTTACATTTGTTTTCAGTCACCAAAGTTTCTCTGAGGATGATGTTTACATTTGTTTTCAGTCACCAAAGTTTCTCTGAGGATGATGTTTACATTTGTTTTCAGTCACCAAAGTTTCTCTGAGGATGATGTTTACATTTGTTTTCAGTCACCAAAGTTTCTCTGAGGACGATGTTTACATTTGTTTTCAGTCACCAAAGTTTCTCTGAGGACGATGTTTACATTTGTTTTCAGTCACCAAAGTTTCTCTGAGGACGATGTTTACATTTGTTTTCAGTCACCAAAGTTTCTCTGAGGACGATGTTTACATTTGTTTTCAGTCACCAAAGTTTCTCTGAGGATGATGTTTACATTTGTTTTCAGTCACCAAAGTTTCTCTGAGGACGATGTTTACATTTGTTTTCAGTCACCAAAGTTTCTCTGAGGATGATGTTTACATTTGTTTTCAGTCACCAAAGTTTCTCTGAGGATGATGTTTACATTTGTTTTCAGTCACCAAAGTTTCTCTGAGGATGATGTTTACATTTGTTTTCAGTCACCAAAGTTTCTCTGAGGCCATGTGTACATTTGTTTTCAGTCACCAAAGTTTCTCTGAGGCCATGTGTACATTTGTTTTCAGTCACCAAATTTTCTCTGAGGATGATGTTTACATTTGTTTTCAGTCACCAAAGTTTCTCTGTGGATGATGTTTACATTTGTTTTCAGTCACCAAAGTTTCTCTGAGGATGATGTTTACATTTGTTTTCAGTCACCAAAGTTTCTCTGAGGCCATGTGTACATTTGTTTTCAGTCACCAAAGTTTCTCTGAGGATGATGTTTACTTTTGTTTTCAGTCACCAAAGTTTCTCTGAGGCCATGTGTACATTTGTTTTCAGTCACCAAAGTTTCTCTGAGGCCATGTGTACATTTGTTTTCAGTCACCAAAGTTTCTCAGAGGATGATGTTTACTTTTGTTTTCAGTCACCAAAGTTTCTCTGAGGCCATGTGTACATTTGTTTTCAGTCACCAAAGTTTCTCTGAGGCCATGTGTACATTTGTTTTCAGTCACCAAATTTTCTCTGAGGATGATGTTTACATTTGTTTTCAGTCACCAAAGTTTCTCTGAGGCCATGTGTACATTTGTTTTCAGTCACCAAAGTTTCTCTGAGGCCATGTGTACATTTGTTTTCAGTCACCAAATTTTCTCTGAGGATGATGTTTACATTTGTTTTCAGTCACCAAAGTTTCTCTGAGGATGATGTTTACATTTGTTTTCAGTCACCAAAGTTTCTTTGAGGATGATGTTTACTTTTGTTTCATTTGTTTCAGTCACCAAAGTTTCTCTGAGGATGATGTTTACATTTGTTTTCAGTCACCAAAGTTTCTCTGAGGATGATGTTTACATTTGTTTTCAGTCACCAAAGTTTCTCTGAGGATGATGTTTACTTTTGTTTTCAGTCACCAAAGTTTCTCTGAAGATGATGTTTACATTTGTTTTCAGTCACCAAAGTTTCTCTGAAGATGATGTTTACATTTGTTTTCAGTCACCAAAGTTTCTCTGAAGATGATGTTTACATTTGTTTTCAGTCACCAAAGTTTCTCTGAGGACGATGTTTACATTTGTTTCATTTGTTTTCAGTCACCAAAGTTTCTTTGAAGATGATGTTTACTTTTGTTTTCAGTCACCATAGTTTCTCTGAAGATGATGTTTACATTTGTTTTCAGTCACCAAAGTTTCTCTGAGGATGATGTTTACATTTGTTTTCAGTCACCAAAGTTTCTCTGAAGATGATGTTTACATTTGTTTTCAGTCACCAAAGTTTCTCTGAGGACGATGTTTACATTTGTTTTCAGTCACCAAAGTTTCTCTGAAGCCATGTTTACATTTGTTTTCAGTCACCAAAGTTTCTCTGAGGATGATGAGCCAAATCTGCCCGAGACTCCCCATGGTCGCCTATGGTTCTCAATGCTTTATGACGGGGTAACAGAACAATTGCAGGTCACTCTTGTAAAGGTGAAAGATTTGCCTGGTAAGATTTGATTCCTTTTTTTTCAAATATACACCAGCTTTATTTTTCAATTAATTATTTTAAAATTTAAATAATAGTTTAAACATTTTAAAAACAAAAACTAATTTTTAGACCCAGCAATTTCTTAATGAAAGAGTGACAGTCAGTAATCACCAACTATTTGTAAAGTTATTTTTCAAACTTGGATTACAAGAACCTTACTCTAGTAAAATAATTCAAAGGAGACGGAATAATAAATGCTATCTTTCAGTGATCTGAATATTAATGACTTGGTTTGATTAATCCAACCTTATAATCTTGGGTTGGATTAAAAATTGATCTTTGACTTAAGCCACCTGAATAGCAGATGATACATTTCTTTGAAACAATGCATATACTGTTTGTATTATTAGTTGGGAAATAACATATTTTTGGTCACAATAGGAGAGTAAATTACACTCTTGAACATACTTATTAATATAATAACTGAGTACATTGTCTTGTAAAAAGTTCAGGCCATGTAAAGTATAATTATGTAGGAAAGATGGTAGTTAACCCCGCTGAAATCATATTAAAGGAAGACTACTTTGTCAGAAAATTTTCTAAGGTAAATTGTAAAGGGACTTAACCCAATAAAATGAAAATGTTTAAAGTTAAAACAATAACAAAATTATAAACTGCATTAGGCATTAAGTTTAAACACCAGAGTTAAACAGAAAATTAAAGTATTTTTATTCATTAAAAACAATCATTATTTTAATTTCAGGTCGAACAAATGGAAGCCAATCAAGAGACCCATTTGTCAAAATTTTTCTTCTACCTGATGAACGTACCTGTAAGGTTTCGAAAGTGAAGAAGAAAACATTAAGTCCAATATTCAATGAGACACACTCATTCCAGGTAGTAGCATCAAAACATCCTTTTGATAGTTAATGTTCTATTATTAGCCAGTTGGTCAACCACTATGCTTGGTAGAATAAGGTAGATGTTGTAGGTAACCAATATCTAAACTAAAGCTAATACTAAATTAACATAATTGATTCCATGTAATATGTTATAGAACAGTAAGGTAAATTAAAACTAATCCTGTACTCTTCTAAATTTAATTTCTAGAATTGTAAGTAATGTATACATTTAACACAAGAGTTTTAATTGTGTAGGTTCCCCCTGACGATTTAAAGAAAAGAGTTCTACGCTTCTCTGTGTACGATGTGGATCGCAGGCGTGTTCGCCACTCACTTGGTCATGTGATGATCAATCTAAAAGGACTTGACCTTACAAAAGGTGAAGTGATGTGGAGTGACCTTGAGCCAATGGTTCAGGTAAGAGTTCATGCCCTTGCTGTCAGCTGATCGTAGAATTGGTTGAAAGATCCTTTTAATATAAACTAACTATTCTATTACACATTTTGTAGCAAGTTCACATTTAATAAATATGAAAAAGAATGTTTTTAAGTAAATTAAAAGACTTGTTTAATCTGAATTACAGAGTCTTTCATAAACAAACATTTTAAATGATGAAGAAGACTGTTGTTATTTCTAATGTAATACAGATGAGAATATTTAAAAGGTTTTTACTAAGTTGATAATTCATGCAACTTTTAAAAAATTTGTAGTAAATGTTTATGAATACTATTGCGTCAAGCAAATTAGAACAGATATACAATTTTATCCTTAGTCTACCTCCTCCCTTGGAGAGCTACAGTTCAGTCTGGTCTATACCCCAACAAGTGAAAAAATCAAAATTGGCATACACAGAGCAAAGAACCTGAACTGTATGGAAGATTACCCTGATACAGGTATGGCTTAGAATTAATTAAGCTTTGCACAGGTGATACAATTAAGTCTGATTAAAAACTTCATCTAGTCATTAGCACTATCTTGCCTTTTAAGTTGTACAGTAATTGAAATCAATATCAATTAACTTTAAAGAACACATATATTAATCATTAAATATTAATAGCACTTGTTTAAGATGTCTTATTTTAATCTCATTTATTGTTTTTTTAAATTGATTTAAAATTGATTTATTTAAATTAGGTGCATATGTCAGAGTTCAGCTTTTCTATGGTCATAAGTGTCATCGAGTCAAGCGTACGGTTCTTCGAAATGGGGGCCAGGAGATCATGTTCAATGAATCGTTGTCATTTACTGTCAACGGAAAACAAATGGATTCTTGTAACATGGTTGTCTCCATTATGCTGACCTGTCCTCGTGCATATGGTAGTGATGATATAGAATATGGTAGAGTAGCCATCGGAGCTTTTATGTACTCCAGGGGTGAAGAGCTCGTACACTGGCAGGAAATGGTTTCACAGCCCAAGCTCCCAAGTACTAAATGGCATTCACTAACATCTCCCCCTTAAAAGAAACATTTTTCACAGAAAATGATCACAACCTTAGTTATAGTTTATGAAACAGCAGTTATTCAGAAAAAGCTGCTAAATCTTGACAATAATCATTGAAAATAATGTTCAAAATTGTTTTTCCAATTATTTTTTAACAAAGTGTCTTTCATGCTTAATGTAACTTACGGTGAAATGTAGCATTTATTTGGTTTTCTACAAGTATTTACGCAGAAGAATTGTTCATGTTTTTTTTTTACAAATAAGTGGAAATAATTCAAATATAATTAACAGCAATAAGTTTCAATTTTAAAAAAAAACAACAGCTATTGTGTACAAAAAAAGAACTTTGGGTCATGACAAATTTAGATGTGTCTTTTTCATATCTGGTGTTAGTTTTAAATAATAATGTAGGCCAGTAAAAAAACAAAAGAAACAAAAGATATGTATCATAATCTAATTTTATTTATTACTTTAATAAGAATAATTTATAATAAAGGTCACAAATTATAGTTTTTCATCAGCTATATAGAATAAATTAGCTTGATTACTAATATGGGGTTTTCTAAGGCTTATGAGTTTTTAAATTGATGTGTTAATTATGGTAAATTTCAACCAGCACTATATAAGCTTTTTGATTAATTAGATAACAAAGAATTAAAACAGAAACATTTTAATTCCATTATCTTTATTTATTTTGGGGAAGATTTTCAAAACAACTCACTAAACATAAAGCGGAACCTAATTTTTAAGCAGTCGATATATAGAAGGAATAGTTAGATTTAAACTGTTATCTCACATTGTACACATTTTTAATGTTCTTGATGGTTCCAAGAGAGTCTATGTAGATTATTCTACAACATGTAATGTTTCAATTTACCAGTATTTACCCTGGTCAAATCTACTTAAAAGTTTAAAGCTGCTGATCATCATACATTAACAATGACCTTTAAGTTTAATTTGAAAATAAATTTATTTTAATTCCCTCGAAAGTTTATGTTTAGCTGCTAATCATTTAAAATGAAAATTTCTCTTTAGTTAAATTTAAAAATAAATACTTAAAAATTCTCTAGAGTTTAATTTTAGTAGTGATCATATTAAAATGAAACAATTTCCTTTTCAAAATTTTAATGTAGCTGTAATTTTAAAATCTAAATTACACTATCATTTCTTATGAAAAATTTTTTCATAGAAAAGTAAACCTATGAAAGAAAGTGGTTAATGTTATATGGTTATAGTTTAGTCTGCATTTATATGGGTAAGATTGGACACATTTTTTAAAAAATGTAGATCACTTTCTTGTCCTTTGCTTTTGTCCATATTTATTGTCAAGTAACACCAATAAAAATTAATAAATATGTTATTTAAATGAAATGCTAAATGTTAATTTTAAAATGAAAAATGCATTTAATATCTGTGTTTTTATTAATATACATTGAAATTTAAAAAAAAAAAATTAGCAATGGTTATTTTGAACGATATTTTGATTTACTAAAAATCTCAATTCTTTTTTTTTTTCATATTTATTTTTCTTTTTATCTTCTTCACACATAAAAACTCACCTGGATTTTAACTATGGCTCATAACCTCTAAACCTGCTGAGATTTGATCGAGTTTCTAAGATGTGTCTTTAATCCCCTTTTTTCATGATAATGCTTTGAAAACATGTTCATTGATAGCAGAACTATAATACATTTGTTGTGGAAATTAGCATTACTTCAAAAACAGTTTTGTGACAAATTGTAATAAGTTATTGTTATTTATTTTTATTTTTAATATTTAAATTTTTTAAATGTGTTAATTGTTAAAGATTATTTTTAAAAAAACTGGCATTATGAATTAAAGCAACGTTGTCTACTTGTCTGCTTACAGTGCTTTAACATTGGAAAAACATTGTTAAAAAAATTGTTTTTCTGCTGTCTTCTCTCAAAATGTTAAATGAGTTTGATTAAAAATTACAAAGCATGTACAGGCTTTTCATTTTAAAAATTACTACATTAGCTAATCAATGCAAAAAAAAAAATATATATATATATTTTTAATGTTTATACTCAACATATTTTTTAAAGTTAGGAGTTATACACATTTTCTGAAACTTAAGAACTTACTCATTTTTCATTTATGATGTAGATGACAGCAGATAATATAAATCTAGTTATGACGTTTGAAGGTCACTTTGTGCCTTTCAAGATGAAAAATATCTCAGCATTAAAATCAGTTTAAATGTTTGGCTTAGTAATTTTGTAAAAATAAAAAGTAATACGAAATGAATTGTTGTTTTTTTAGTTGTTTTTTTTTTTGTTGTAGGTTTTTTTTTAAAAGTAACTGCCATATATGTGTCCTTGCAACTGCCTATGCTATTTCAGTATTCAGTTTTAAAGAAATAGTATTATTAGTTGCAGTTGTAACAGCTGTCATTTTTTAGGTCTGTGTGTTGGGGTGATGGGGGGGGGGGAGTCCTAATCTGTGCCTATAGCTGCTATGCACAATGCTTGTACACATATAGGCCTATAGAAGTATATATTGGCTGGGTAATGCATATTGGCTGACTCTCTTGGCCAAAGCCCGAAGAGCTTAGCACTACGAGCATAATTTGTATGTTGACTGGCCAATGTGCGCACTGGCCGGGACATAGTGGCCAAAGTCTGAAGTGCTTAAACTTGACAGCATGTTTCGTACATTAGCCGGCCAATGCGCACATTGGCCGGAATGTCCCGGCCAATGTCTCATCTAGACTAAGTTGTGATCGCAATTTCATTATTCTGGATGGGGTTTCATTGTGAGTAACTTATTGTTTGGCTATTGTTTGTATAGCATTCTATATGCAATGCAACATGTACCAAAAGGGCAATCAGACCAAGAGACAGGCATACCAGATGGCTGCCAAAATATTTCTAAACTAATGAACTTAAACTAGTTCACGGAAAGCCAAGACATAGCCAAAGCCACAGTTCAGTAGAACATGCCAACCAAGATGTTCATAATATGATGATGACAAGGATGTAGACAAATGAATCAGCTCTTGTGCTGAGAGTCTCAAATTCATTCAATTTATGAAAAAACCTTTCTTTTCATCAAGGAATCCAACAATCGCCATACAAAGCCTTGTTTGGATGCAAAGCGAAAAGTGGGACAAAGCACTTCAAATCTACCAAGAGAGGTTCTCAAATATGTATAGTTTGTGAAACAATATTGTAGTGCAGCCCATACTAGTTAGCAAACTCAAGGTGCTAAGATGCTAACAAAATCAGATACAAATTTTAAACAAGCTGAAGTGAGAGATCTAAGATTCGCTGGCCCTTTTGACTGGGCTTTTTATGTTGGGCCGTTTTGTCATTGGCCGTTTAGACACCGCGCGAATAATACAGAATTTGAGTCTTTTTAAAACAGGCATTTGTAGAGTGGTATCTGGTTGAGAGAAAAAAAAAGGTAGATGTTGGGGGGGGGGGGGGGGAGATCGCCTTAAGTAAGACATCACAATTTTTAGTGATTATTCCCCTCATTTTTCATATAATGACGCCTATACTTCACTTCCCAGGCGTTTTATTTTGCTACAAAATTTCTTTATCATCATCGGCACACGAAGCATTAGCTAGTGAGGGTCATTTCACCTTGTCTATATTTTTAATAAGAGTCTACAAGCGTATTCTAAATTGCGAAATAAAGGCAAAAAAAAAAGGTAGGCCTAAAGTTTAAATTTAAAAAAATCAAAAGCGCGACCTCACACTTGCTGACCCCTCATCCCCAACATTTGTCAAACATCATCACATCTCTGTACGTTTGAAGTAAGCCATATATAATATTAGCTGTCCAGTTATTCCCTCATATCAATCAAAGCTAAATGCTGAAGACCCTGTAACTTAATTTTTATTTATTAACTCAAAGCCGTTTTATTTGGCTATGGCAATTTTCAGAAAATTTGATCTGGCAATATTTGTAACTTGTAAACAAACAAACCTTGCTAATGGTAGTGAATAGTAGTGATTCAGTGAAGTACTAGTCTAGTCAGTCTAGTGCTAAACCAGCCAGTGTTTTTAACACTATCTATTTTATAGGTCTACGTGTAATAGAGAGGAGCATGATTGAAACATGTGTCCTGCTAATTTAATTAATTTAACACGTTTGTCACTGGGGCTTGTGACTCGACTGACTCACTTTCACTCAGCAGTGACTGGATGACTGGATGTGTAATTAAGTAATTAGTAATTGTGTTTTGTGTACACATTGATTATAGTGATTACACTTACAGTACTTACTACAGTAACACATAATAATACACAATCAAATTAGAATGTGACAATACTACATAATTACTACTACATAATACACAACCACAGTCATGAGTTAGTGACTCCAGTGACACTCTGACAGTCGGTGACATAAGTCATAGAATTTATACTACTATTACTATAGCTATAGACCATAGGCTAACTATTAGATACTTATTTTACTTATTTAGATAGCATAACAGAGTGTAGTGTTAAGTAGTAATACTTAATATGTTAAGTACTAGATCTAGATAATTATACTTAATTTAACTGAATACTAGGCCTTATGAATAATCATTATAAGTTACTACTAGAATGCTGGATCTAGATCTAGAATCTACCACCTTGTGACTTTACTGTAGTAAATTAAAATCATACTCAGTCAGTCATTCAGCCATACTTAACCGTGAACTGGTTATTGAACTACATGAACACTTACAACTTAAATAATAATAAATTAAATAATGTAATGAGTAATAACATAAAGTTATCATGAAACTAATCTAATAATTATAGGGCCTATGTCATATGAAATATAAATGTTCTATATCAATTACGTTGTATTCATTTTAGGTTGTTTTTCAAGGTAAAGTTGAAAACTCTGGATCATTTATTTTTTAATCAAGATGCAAGAAAAAACAATAATGTTAAAACCCTAGTCATTTGTAAATAAACTCTCTTATAATATTAGGAAAATGTTGAGTGGTTCTCAGAGACAGTTGCAAAGAATTTATTTGTCTAAATTTCTACATTTATTAAATGGTGATGCATTGACTTGGAAACACTCAAATATATGTGCCAAATGTATATCATCTAGTTCAAATGATTTTCAAGAAACTGTTGGTTCAAAACATGAAAGTGATAAATTGCTGGAACCAGTGCCAGAGAATTCAGTAAATATTTTCCCAACAGTGAGTCTCACTGTTCAACCAGAGTCTGTGTGTATTCCTGGAATCACTACAGATTTAAATGGTGGTTCATCAGAGCAAGTTGTATCACCAGTACCTCTAGGACAAATTGTACCCCCAGAACCACCAATCAACTGCTGTATGACTGGATGTGTGAACTGTGTTTGGATTGCATATGCTGAGGAACTTAAGGAGTATTGTAAAAGTGTTGGAGGGGACCCTAAAGATACAATTGATAAAATTACAGATCCATCTCTTCGAGCTTTTATTAAGATGGAGCTTAACCTTTAAGCATAATCCTTAAAGGAAACTGTTGTACTGTGACATACTTAGAGTAATAGACCCTTCTTTTTGTGCATTTAGTATTGTAGATAATGTTTATAAGTGTAACTTGTCCAATGGAAGAAATGCCATTCATGATGGTTTTACTAAAATGAAGTGTTTTCCACATTATTTATACCAGTAACTAACATTAAGTATTTATTTAAATTTTTAATAAAACAATGTTTTTGTACTAAGCTTGGTTTTTTTTTTTGTTTCATGTTATTTTGTCTTCATCATGTTAATGTGGTACAATTTTTCCTGTTTAGATTAGTAATACATCCTTGGGTCAACCAAGCCCCTAGGGCAGAGAAGTAAGATGAGACCATTGTATTAGCCATACAATTCTGTTAGTTGCTATGATTTCACAAACAAATGTCTGACTTAAGAACAATTTCCTCTCATTAAGTTACCATAACTATTGCATCACATGTTCAAAGTGTGAAAACATTGATCTACCTCCATTGAAACTTCATGCAGTTAATGGGCAAAAACAAATTTACTTGATGTTAGTTTTTACAAACATATAACCAAAATTGAAATAATTCACTTAATTTTTAAAACAAATTAATTTATTAAATTATTTATAGAAAAACCAGTTTCATGTAGCTCTCCATACGTTCACACATTCATTTATCCATTTTATTCTCATGTACTGGTAAAAATAAACTAGTGCAACATGTTTTTTTAAGAATATTTATATCCCTTTTTGCACTTAAATTAAAAAGTTACATTTTGATATCTGAAAATGTATGTAAGTTGAATAATATTATAGCACTTCAGATTTCACTTCAGATATAAAACTGATACAAATCACAATTATTGTCTGTAACTCGTAACCAGTGAACATTAGTTAATTTGTATGTATAAAAATGTTCAATTCACTCTTACTCACTAGCTTCTCATTTGCTCTTTTATAAACAGTATATTCCAAACAATTTTGAAATATGCAAAGAAAACAGCCTTTTGAATATATATAAATAAATTAACAACTGCAAGTTAACTGAATGGTTCTAATCCTGGTAAGGTGGATCAACAATTATTTCACTGTTTTCCAAGTCGAACCCTGGGTTGTAAATACTGGTGAAACTTCCATCACCATTTGGCATCTGTTTGTCCCAGAACTCTGAGACTCGTTTCTTTATTCCAGCAGACTCTTCTCTCCACTCTCGTTGCCAGATGCGAAGCTCTTGTATCTCAGGTTCACGGCGAACCTAAATGAATGTTTTGTAAAATAATTTCAATTGGGTTTGATCTTCATACTTGTAAAAGTATTGATGTTATATTTATAAAAAGATCAAATGAATAGACATATAACGTAAGTGGTATGTTTAAATATTTTTATAAAAAAATAAACCTAAAGCAGATCATTAGAGTAGAAAAATTAATGCATTTTAAATTGCCAGGTGACTAACATTTTAAGGACCTATTTTGTCCCTTCACAGATTAATTGGTAACCTACATATATATTCCTAAACTGGGTAGATTTCTATTTCTGAAAATTTTTTGGAATTTAAATTTCTAAAATACAGTATGGACCCTGTTTAGAATATGATTGAATAATTAAAAGTTTACCAAGTAGCCTCTCCAGTTAGACTGAATGATGATAGCTGCTTCATCCTCACTCCATATTAGAGACTTTGGCAATGGTGGTCTTGGACTTAGATGATAAAGATAAAATAAATTCTGAACAACTCTGTTTTAGTTACTGTACATTTATATCTCATAGTATTAAGAGTAAAAAAGTAAGTTCTACTTCAGCAAAAGAAATTTTTATATCTAGTATAAAATTGGTGTTTTTTTTTAAACAAAGACCACCTACTATACTAAGAAAATTATCTGTTCTCTTTAAAACAAATTCTGTTTACATAACTAATAAAATATGCAGCTGGTTTAAATGTGCACTTAGTTGTTTTTTTAATTGAATCTACTTACTATTTTTGTAACCATTGCTTGACAAATGGTATATCTAGGAGTTTGGTGTCCTTTCTGCTCTCTGTGTCTTTATTGGGATTATGCCTATTAAGAAATAAAGTTGGTTTAGGTAGGCCCACTAGTACATGTTTGAAAATATTGTAATCAAACAATTATTTAGTGACAAACTATAGCAAAACTAAATGGCCTATCATTTGAAACTTAACAATACAATAGAAAAATAAAATACAAACTGGTATAGGTATTCTGTTAAGAAATCACAGGCGTTAAATTTTGTTCTCTTTCTCTGAAAGTTTAAAAAAAGTTTTTGTCACTTAGTTAAACCATTCAAACTCCATAAGATTAGCCATAAAATTATAGGGTCTAGTGTTATTATCAGTTAAAGTGTAATTTATACTGACACTAAAGCAGTGGTTAACAATTACATTATTCTTCCCAACTTATTTTAAACAACCGTCTGTTATTTAATTAAATGAAAAATAGCATTTGTTTAAACAAAAAGTGAAATCCAAAACTTTTTTTTACTTACAATAAAAGAAGTAATCAAAATTAAATTGAACATTTTTTATAGAAAAAACAAAACTGAATTAAAAAACTACACAACACAAGAATAACAGAACCAAAAAACAATCTTACACTCTCCTCTTCTATGTCCTCTTTCTAAATAATAAAAAATGACTTACATTGATGCTATGACAAATTGACAATGAACTTTATAATTAAGTTAATTAAAGTGCACCAACAAAAAATACCAAACATTAGGCAGACATTTAAAAAAAATAGTTGTACATTTTTGTTTGCTTTTTTTAGTATAGTCCCATGGTTGAAAAAATACCTCAAAACATTTTTCTAGTTTGGCTTGTTGAAGCATTGCTCCCAAAGCAGGAAGAAGCCATGGGAACACAAAGCTATTCAGATATTCTGTTGGAGTACCTGCAAGACAATTAGTAAACAGTATGTCAGCTCTGCTACTGATGATTTTAATAATGCTGTATAAACTTAGTATAAAGAGTTTAAGGCTGCATCTGATTATTACTGAAGTTGACTAATGATGAGGAATATAGAAAATGTATGAGTTAAATTAATCTCACTTGAATAAAAAAAAAAGGACTTGTCTTTAACTTTACAATTAAAGTTGTTTTATTAATGTTGTTTTATGAGTATATCTAATCAGAAAGTAAAAAATATAACTTGTTGAAGTATAAATATAATTTTAAGCTTTTTTAGCTGTTTTACACAACCTAGTGAGAATGTCCAAACACAAATTCTGGGTTGATTATTGTAATTGCAACCATCTTTAAGTTTCATCTATTAGTGTCAGAATTTCACACTACCACTAATTAGTTTAATTATACTTCAATAAAGTATAATTATAAATCCTTACATAACTAAGCCTACAATGTTTTATAACTTTTGTTTACTGAAATTCAGAGCAAACTTTGATGCTGACTTACATTGAAATCTATCTTGTGGAGGAGGAGTTGAAGGCTTTTCTGTCTTTGGTGGCTTATCTGAAAATGTGTAGCCTAAGCAAGATGGATGGCCAATAGTTGGATCAAAGTCAGTTGTGACATCAACATCTGCTGTAACTTTGGCAAACATTCTGCCATAAAATACTGGATTGTGCTTGGCAGGATCATAGTCGTCATAGAGTGTTGCAACAGAACCTGACTCATCATTTAGCTCTGGCGGTGCTTTCAACAATGCAAACTCTGTGACAGAAACAATACTTAAACAATAAACATGATGAGATTTAACTAAGTATGTTTAAAACCAGTGTAAGGCAAACTCTACCTGAGACTAAGAAAGCATAAACACATTTTTAGTCAACATTGCAAATAAAAATATCATATTCACATCCAACTTTCATCTTATATTTAGCCATAATTGATTTTTTTTCTCAGATGTTATAGACTATATAACAACAGTAACAAAACATCAATTATGGATTACAGGGACATATAGTAATATACACTTTGACACTAGTGTTAAAATAACAACTATAAAAGTAATCAAGTACATGTGTCCTATGAGCTTATAGAAAAATTATATAATGTAATGTTCGTTCTTCATATTAACTTAAGTGAGCATTTAAGAAATAGTACTAAAGTTACTGTCAGAACGCAGAACAATATTAAGTAGATCTAGTATTTCTTTTTTGTTTACCTTTACAAATCTGTTCCCACAGATTAACCTCTGGAACTTTAGTGATCACTGACATTTCTAAAGCAAAACATCTGAATCTGTGAATGGAATTAAAACTTTGGAATGAGATTAGATAAATATTAGGTAATAAATTTAAATAGGTCCAAAGAATACTTGAAATATGCATTTTCCTTGCTGTCAGCAAAAAGAAATTATTTAAATAAAAACAAGGCTACTGATCTGATGTCTTGTGGTAAACAACGATAGTTTGTACTTTATACTACTACGACAACTAATAGGCCTACTACTTCTACGCCTAATAATAATAATTGAAATAATTGTGTGTGTTGTTGAAAAAAACAAATCTCTCTATTTAATAATAGTTATGGGCAACTTGGCTTAGACTTATGGGAATTTGATTTTGTGGTTTTCTGGTTTTTGTAAGACTTTTTCTAAGTTAGTTCTTCCTTTTAAACTAAGTATTAGTAAGTAGGTAAAAAAAGTTAGTCTAATTTAATAATTTTCTGTATCTAGATCTGCTGATCTAGGCTAAACTGCTTAACATTTAAAAAAAACAACTTGTGTCTAAAATTTGAAAAATTCTTTTTTTTTTTTTTTAATTTAGCCTACATACTACCACAATACTAGAATCTAGATTCTACATATTTCATATGATAATTTATTGTTTATGATTAGATCTAGAATCTAGATCTACCTACACACTCTGAGTGTACACTGTGCAGTGTGAGTTTACTTCAGTGTGTACTTGTACTACTTAGACTTAGTTATTAGACAAATTAGAATTAGGCCTAATTCAAATTATTATTTAATATTTACACTTAGATCTAGATCTCATCATATAGACCTAGTACTACTGACTGTGAACGCATCATCATGATGATTAATGAATGAACAATATTAAATTATTAATTAGTAATAATTATAAATTAGGCCTAATGTTAAATGTATGACTATGTACTCAGTATGTACTAATGGTAATCTATCGTTTTGGGTACGTAAAATCGCTCGCGGCTATTAATGTACGAAAACGTAACCTCATTGTCAAGGCTGTAATAGAAGTATATTGTGATATGTTTGTTTCAAATATTATAGATAAATGAATAATAAACCTAAATCAATGGCTAAATATATCAATATAGGCCAGAAATTAACTTTAAACAGCTGTGTCTGCAAGCAAGATTTGCTATATAAACAGCAGCCATTTGTAAAATAGAGTGACTTCCGCCTAAATCTTGCGCTCTATATGTCTATAAAAATAAAACTTTAACAAGATGGCTGCTATAGTAAATGAGCGTGGTTGCATCTGTTGGAAACATCGCTGGTGTTCATTTATTACTGAAAAGTTTTAATTCAATTGTTTAAAAACAGGTACATAAATGAAACAAGGAAACATTTTTGTATTTTTCAAAACATAAATCCTCCTCAAAATGTGAAATAATTATTAAAATGTAAGGAGTCACCTGTTTTTCACACTACTAGTCGCGGCCGATTTTACGTACCTAAAACGATAGATTACCGTACTAATTAATTACTATGTGAGTATGTGGTATGTAGTAAGTAGTAATGACTAAAATAAATGAATGTTCATGGTTTACTTTATTGGTATTGGCCTACCTACACTTACGCAAATGACAAAAAAACCAGTCCTTTTTAAATAGCTTATTAAGAATCCAAATCAATTTGATCTCTTGGCCTACATGGCAAAGCTTCATAAAATTTAAAATATTACACAACGAAATCGACAAAGAAATTTTGAAATCATAACCAACACAGGAGAGTCGACTTCATTTATATGGTTGGTATGCAACAGGAGAGATAACTCTTATTTAATATTTAATTTCTCTACTGCTGCAGTTATTTCTTCACATTTACTTTTATTATTTTAAAATACACACATATTTTTTGTTTTAAAAAAATACGTTTAGAGGAGCAGAAAGGGGGGAGGGGCGTAATTTGTTTTTACGATGTGTGATTTAGAAGAGGGTACCAGATGGTGATTGTCACACGTTTGCAATTTTTAAATTAAAAGTCATGTTAGAAGCTGAATTGTAACCATTATAAATTATTTCGCGTATTTTTTGTCGAATGGCTGTTTTTGTAAATTAAATATAGAATCTACTAAATTTCTAGATCTATACCGTACGTAAACCAAGCTCAGTCAATCGTTGTTTAAAAAAAAAACCTGCAATTTGGGGTGTGACATGATTTTAGGGGGGGGGGGGGGGGGGGTGATCTGGCTTTTGTGACAATGGGTGACGGAGGGAATGGGGGTAAAAATCATTTTTCAAAAAGCGTGACGTCATTTATGGATGACCCCCAATAGATCTATAATATTACAATGTTGCGAATTGAATTTAGTTTAAATTGTCAAACATTATGGCCTACATCAATTTGGAAGAATTACTGTTTATAAACAAGACACATGAAAGGACGATGGCATCTACGCGCTCCTGCCACTGTCAATCTTAAACCATAGAAATTCAAATAAAATCGACAACTCAGTTTTAGTTTTCCAATCCATTATAATAATAGAATAGAAAAATAACCCATTAAACATATCACACATCATAGATAACAAATCAATTTAAAAAAAAAAAGAAAAGTAAGAGTATTGACATAAGGCTAACCTACTTAAGCACAATAAAATGTACAACTATTGGATACATGACATTACCCCCCCCCCCCCCCCGGCAAATACCCCCTGTCAATTCCCCCCCCCCCCTCAAGTTAGAATCCTAACTCTTAATCAAATACTATACCTTTATATTACCTTAATCCTAACCTTAAGAAAATACGAAAACCTAAGCATTCACCTCAGCCTAAAACTTAACACAAAACCAAAACCAACTCTAGACACTAGCCCTAACCCTAACCCTAACCCTAGCTGTACCTTAAGCTGTGTCCGTGTGGGGGGGGAGGGGGTAATTGACAGGGGGGGGGGGGGGGGTAATTACGCTACACTTCTGATTACTGGGCATTTCGTTTTGAACAAGGAAAATATGTGGGAATTTCAATAATTTGAATGCAGTAAAAGATATCATGCAAATGAGGCCTACTTTAACTAATAAATATATTACATTATAAATAAAATTAACATGCGTCGGCTTAAGCCTTGCAGAATTTTAAATAAATGTAGCTAGGAAAATCAGGCTTATAACAGAAATGAGGCTGAGTTTCTTAAAAAAAAAAAAAAGGAGGCGAGGGTTTAAAGCTCCAAGTTGCACTGATTAAAATCCGTTCCTACCCGTAGGCCTAGCTGTGGTGTGTTACTCACCATCTCCTGCAGGCCCAGATGTGGTTCGTTACTCAATTAAGCCTACTCGATGAAAAAATAAAACGACGCAATGTAATTTTGTTAAAACGTAAAACAGTAGGAAATAACCCGCGCTGAATTCCGAAGCAGTATTTTCACTACATCAACATCTAGATAAAATCTAGATCTACATGAGATGAAACAAAGAACGATAGGTCTACCCAGGGGCGTAGCAAGGGGGGCGGGGGGTGCGGACCGCACCGGGTGACACCATTTAGGGGGTGACACCAAGGCGAAAAATAGGAAAATATATAGAGAAAAACTTGAGGGGGGGTGCAAATCGAAAGTTCGAGGGGGGGGGGTGCAAATCGAAAACTTGAGGGGGGGGGGGGTGCAAATCGAAAGTTTGAGGGGGGGGGTGCAAATCGAACATTTGAAAGTTTGTCCCCGGGAAGGGTCGCTACGCCTCTGGGGGGGGGGGGTGACACCATTAAGTGCCGCACCGGGTGACACCCGACCTCGCTACGCCACTGAGTCTACCCATCCTGCAATCAAATTTAGATCCGTATGTTTATAGGTAGGTAAGGCTTATATATATATATATATATATATATATATATATATATATATATATATATATATATATATATATATATATATATATATATATATATATATATATATACATATATTCATTTATCTCACAACTGCTTAAACTATAGGCTTTAAATAAGCCTAACATTTCCAAAGACCACCATCTTGTTATTTCTCCATTAGCAGCTATTGATTTTATTTTTTAATTCTTAATATTTTTACACCTTTGTACAAATGCCATCTTATTATGCGTTCGTCAGGGGACGGTGTACCATAATAGGTTAGATTAGCAACAGTGTTAGTAATCTGGTCTTACTTAGGGTGATGACTGTTATATTATGATTGGGTTGAAACACAATTTTTATCGAGAGTCTATGTACTATGTGGATCTAGGCAGTATGCCTGGTAGACTACTGTATTAGTCAGTGAATTCAACCAATTAGCCCGGACAATCCCAATGGCAGAAACTCGGGGGGATGGGGAAGAATAAATAAAAATATAAGCAAAGTTATATAACATTTTTCTATACCACTGACCCTACCTTTTATAAAATAGTATAACACAATGATAAACTACCACTTCTCCATTTGCCCGACTTTAGCCTAGCCTAAGTCTCACCTCATCTCCCCGCCCCCCCCCCCCCCCCCCAGACTTGCAGATTGAGATGCATCTGCTGTTTACACACAGTGACCCGTGGTTTAGGGTTAAACAAACAACGTGTTATCTGCTAATTAATGATGATTACTGTGTTGATTAATCAAGACATTCACTGAACAAAATATCAAGCATCTAGAGTAGCTTCCCTTGCATTGGTTTACAAAAGGTGCTGGTTTTTCATTGCTGTATAGAAAGTTCCAGGGGAAGGGGGTCATTCGAGGGTGAGTCATTTTGGTCGAAAACAGCTAAAGACGTTATTAATCAGCCATGAGGATTTTAAAAAAAACACACTAAAAGTCTATAAACTATGAGATGTACACCATAGTCTATAAATGATGGGATATACACCAAAGTCTATACATGATGGGATGTACACTATTGTAGACCAACGTCTAGACATAACGGGATGTACACCAAAGTCTATAAATGACGGGATGTACACCAGTCTATACATGATGGGATATACACCAAAGTTTATAAATGATGGGGTGTACACCAAAGTCTATACATGATCGAATGTAGGCCTACACTATACATCAACGTCTATACATAATGGGATGTACACCAAAGTCTTTACATGATGGGGTGTACACCAAAGTCTATAAATGATGGGATGCACACTATTATAGACCAACGTCTAGTTAGAATGGGATTTACACCAAAAAGTAGATATTTTGGGATCGTGATGTAGCCTACACCAAAGTCTATAAATGATGTGATGTACACTATTATACATCTAAGTCTAGAGATTATAGGATGCATATCAAGTCCGATTTTAATTCCCTAAGATTAATATAAAATTAGACAGCTTTGTTACGTTTGTGCAATGGGTGTGTCCTCTCACATGTCGTGTCTACTTACCTGTCCTAAAGGCCGTTAGGTCATAGCTTAAGACCTTTACGTGCTGAATATATTTGTGCGGGTAAATATGTGTGTGTGGTGTGGTGTGTGGTGTGTGTGTGTGGTGTGTCTGAGTGTGTGTCTGTGTGTGTTTGTATTGTGTGTGGTGTGTCTGTGTGTATGTATGTGTGTGTCATATTAAAAAAACACAAGGGTAAGGGTGGTTTGGTATTTTGTTATGTTGGTTGATATACGGCTAGTACGGTGGCATAGATTAATGTTGTAGAACTCTTTCTTTTATCTTCTTTATACTTTTCAAATCAATGCTAATGTTATTTAGTAAGGTCGATACAAAGGTTGGCTCAATGATACACATGTTCACAATTTAAGGTTTTACAGATTGTAATGAAACTCGTCATCGAATATATATATATATATATATATATATATATATATATATATATATATATATATATATATATATATATATATATATATATATATATATATATATATATATATATATATATATATATATATATACTAGCTGCATCCCGGGCTCCGCCACGGTAAATCTTTTTTTAAATGTACCAACTTGGGAACAGAACAAAACTAAACACAACACAAACGAACGCAAAAAAAAACACAAACGAAAAAACAAACACAACACTCATAACATAAACTCAATTTAAATGTAATCATAAAGGCATATTGCTCACAGTCTAGCCCGTAGCGCCAAATCGCGCCCTTTCCGAGCGCCGGCGGACGCGTCTGACACAGTGAATGACTATAAAACAGAGGCGTAGCGACCCTTTCCGGCGCCCGGGGACAAACTTTCGATTTGCCCCCCCCCCCCCTTAAACTTACGATTTGCACCCCCTCCCCTCAAAATTTCATTTTCCACCCTACCCCATCAAACTTTCGATTTGTACCTCCCCTCAGACTTTCGTCCGCGACTGTCCGAGGAAAGCAGCTAGGCAACGGAGTCAGCAGCAGGGGAAATGCCAGTCTATCAGCGTCGGGGAGCGGATGCTGATGCGTGTTCTGCCAAGCTCCCAGTCCAAGTTTACGCCACCGAGATCATCACAGTGTCGAGCAACCACAGCTCAGGTTACCTCGCCTAGCGGCTGGAGGTACGGCTGTCGGGTGTTCCGCCGTGGAGAAGGGTTGCAGCCGGAGGGTGCGTGTGAGGAGGGTAGACAGCCACACTATGCATGTCAGTCTCAGCGCGAGCAAGATCGTCGCTTGGGAGACAGACATGACACAAGCAGAGGTCGGAGACGCCGCCGGAGGAGAGGCCGACGACGTGGTGGACGCCGCCGTGGTTGGCAGCGACCCGACTATACAATGCCGAGTGCTGAACCCACTGTGGCGGAGGGGGAGCGACGGAGAGAGATCATCCCAACCAGTGAGGCAGATGAAGGTGAGGAACTGACAATCAAGGTAGTGGTCC